AAAGCCTAATCCTTTTTCGAATGAAAAATAAGGACCAACAATGATCAAAACATATTGACTTGTCACCTAAAAAAAAAAAAAATAATAATAATAAATTAAAAAAAAAAAAAAATATATATATATATATAGACTTGGGAAAAAATGTTAGAAAACCAAGATAAGGAACCCTAAAATTTTACATATTTACTCCTATTTTATAATTGTTTGGGCCCAAAATAATAGTTTGGGCCGAGGGTAGAATCACTCTCGGCCCGAGAAGCCGGGCGACGAAAGGGTCATGGAGCGTTCAGCTCATGGGCTTCCAAGCCTAAGTCGGTTAAATCAGAACGCAAGTCGAGTCTTAGTACAATAGTGACTCTCGACGAGATCAATAATCTAGAAAGCGAATCCGGCTCAGTTAAGGACTAGATTCGTAGTCCTAGCGGAGATAGGACTGATCGAGGGGATGTTAATCCGGAGAAGGAAACCTAGTCCGAATAGGATTGGAACTCGGGCTCGATGTGCTGCTACTATAAATACAAGACATTTAGCAACATAACAAGCCCCCTGCAAATCAATACAAAACTGCCCTGCGCAAATTCTCACAACTTGTGATTTTTCTTTTTCCTTTTTCGCTGACACATCTTCCGTTGGCATCAACAGCACTGTGGAAGCAACCGGTGATATCTTAAGTCGGCATAAATAGCTCTATCACCGTAGAGTCAGTCGGTCTCGCAGTACCTTCCGTTGGCATCAACAGCATTGCGGCGAGAACGATTGATTACCTATCCAAGCCTCGGTCGAGGAGGATTTCTAAATCCTTATTGGTCGAGGTCATCTCATCAGCCTTCTCGGCGAAGTGAGGTGTTACAGTTATTACATTCGGCACATTGAAAGCCGAATTTGATATTGAACTTCGTAAGAATAGTAACCTTGTCTTCAGGTTCGAGAGCCCAAGAGGCCGAGACGTGTTCCTTTCTCGGCCGCAATCGCAAGACGCAGAAGTCAGTAGCGCGACCCAACGCAACATCAACAAATTTACTCCTCGGCCGAGCTCGGCCGACGAGTTGGCACGCCCCGCATTCACCGAAGGACGTAGTTAGCTCATTAATTACTCGGCCTGCGCGCCACGTAGGCTTTGTAGTTTCTAGGGTCAACAATAATATATATATATATATATATAAATTAATTAATCTATATGTCATTTTATTTTGTAATTTATGTATCTCAGATTCTTAATACAATTATGTACTATTTAAGTATAAATAGGCACTTATTTATATGATTTACTTAAATCCGCATAGGCGTCCACCTAGGCCTCACTTAGCGTTTTTTAGAACCTTGGTATTTCTATGTAAGTTACTATATTTTTTTTTGAATTAAAAATTAAAATATGTAGTTGCTTATATTAAAGAGATTTAAATAAAACCCATAATTTGTGAGATTAAAAATATTAAAATTTAAATTATTACTCTCCAATATATTTTTTGTGTGTGTCTATATATATATATATATATATATATATATATATATATATATAAACATGGGTACATTTATCAAAATTAACAAAAAATTATTGTCCAAAACATTCTTCAAAGCCACAAAAAAAAAAGATATTAGACTTAATAACATTAATAAATTTATTCGATTAAACTTGACATAAATACATTCTCAAATCAACGAAAAAGAATGTGCCTATATTTAGCTCTTTCAATTGAAGATGGCCTAATTATCTTCATTGTTTGCATGGTTCATGATTTTCCAGCATTATTTTTTGTTACCAAAAAATTTGTAAACGAACCACCTGGTGTACTTTCGTTATACCTACTAATCATTTTCCACAAGATTTGGACCTCTTTTTCTTAACAATGTTTAACAAAGATTAGTATAGTATTTCTTTCTTGACAAGCTAATTTGTTCAGTCTATATATACTTATAATTGATTTTAGAGAACCTCCATGGCACGAGGGAAAAAACTTTATTAATAATCATCAAGCAAGATACAATAAAAAGACGTATAGTCAAATCCGTTTAATTAACAAAAATTCTCAACAAGCTAGGGTGCTTGAATAAATTCGTGTTTACCTTAGATTGCTCAAAACAATCCGAAGTAGACAGAGTGAAATATGCAATCCATACTATAATTATTCAAGAGAAATAGTTATAGTGATTTTTGCATGCTTCTTTTTCTCTTTTGTAAACTTTTTATTTTTTATTTTTTTTATTTTTGTTCTCTTTTGATTTATTTAATCGAATGAACATAAATTAAAAATCACTTACTCATACGGTTGTCGACGATGACGTAGCTATTGTACCATAAATGGCATAAGCCTAACATTTTTCAGTACCACTTACGTCTTAAGATATTATTTTTCAAATGATAATTTAATAACAAATTAATATAATGAAGAGTATAAAACTATTTTCATCTCAAACTTTTTTAGTTGCTTGCTCTTCTCCCACGACATTGATCCCTTTTATTTTTAACAAACGATATTATATATACTAAATGTGAGGAAGTAGGTTTAGTCTCACAATGAGTTAGCAGTAATTTTGTTCAAATTCGCATTTAACGAGAATTAAACCTAAAATATCTCACTTACAAGTGAAGAAGAATTATCTCTATTATATTATACAAACAGAACATAAAATGCGAAATATATATTTATATATATATATATATATAATCTTTAAGGAAATGAATTTTCATTTAAAAAAAATTAGGGATTGGTGCTGCAACGCACACCACATCGAACTTCAACGATTCAAACTGTCTATTTTTCCAAGTTGCACCTCACATATCATCCTTGCAAAATATTAGCCAAATCGGAAATATTTGAGACATCTACTTGAGTTAAATGAAATTGACGAACACTTTTTTCTAAGAAACGTTAAATCATCATAACAATTAAATAGACAAATAGTTTCGGATTGAATCAAATTTTTGTAAGAACGATCTATAAATCGAGACTTATAAAATAGACGATTCAGATCATTGAAGTTCAATATGGTGTGGACCACACAACTAATTTCCATTCCCTTCTGTTAAGGGGCTGATATATATATATATATATATATATATATATATATATATATATATATATATATATATGTATATATGATATGGAATTTCCTTGTACGTTATTTATTTATTTAATTTGAAAATTATTGAAACCCAGTGGAAAAGATGATGCAGTTTGCAACACTAAAACCCAAATTATATGGTTAGGTCAACTAGTGGCCACCTAAACAATTTGAGTGGGGCGGTCATTTGATTTGTTTTCTGTACTTTTTTGAAAAATTAGAAAAATAGAACACGTCTTAAGTTAAATTATAACTTCTTTATGAGAAGATTTTGTCAACCATTTCTTTATTACTTAGTGTTTCACACACCAAAATACGCACATCATTGGACGATAGTATCCGAAAACGAGATTGATAAAAAATGTGTTGTCACGGATTCACCTATATGTAATATTTTGATTTTTCGAATGCCAAACAAATGAAAAATTTTCAATATTAACTCGATCTTGAAACCTATTCATATTATAACATGTGCTTTATTTAAATTGTCACGATAGGAATTGTTTGAGATTACTGTTGGAAGGTCTAAAAATGTTTTTTGTCTGCGTTCGGTATAAAAACTTAGAATTTAGAAATTCAAGTGCTTCCTGAAAAAAAATGGTTATGAAGGTAAGTGTTTTTATAGAAGCAACCAAACATGCCATTACTCGTAACATTAATTTAACTTGGCATACAAGTTTTGCCCATGTATAATCATTTTGTTGTGTACAATCTCACTTGACCAATTGGAGTGAACGCGAATTTCACTCCAAACAAACTCGAAAAAAACTTGGTTGCAAGTGCCTAATCTTACCCAAAAGATCGTGTTCTAAAACTTGAGCTTGCATCTTCCAACTATTAAGTGAAATTGAATACGATAAGATTATAATACCCCTAAACGTGAAGCGGGGATCAAGTTAGACAAGTTGAAGAAAATTGAACAATCGATAGACCGAATTGGTATAAGAAGTAAATCACAATGATAAATGTGACGAAATGGAAGCCTTTATAAGCAACCATTTATGACTTTTGGTCTTAAATTATACTCTCTATTTATCGTTCATTTATATTATAACACGTGAGTTATTTCCAAGCAAACTAGAAAGTCATGAAAGCAAAAGAGGTGGGAGTGATGATTCATGATCCTGATTGGAACTATATACTCATTCTTTGGTGAACTTTTTGTGAGTGTGTATCCCTCGTATATGGTCGGCGTCACTTTTCCATTTTAGAAGCTCTATTAATTCAACACTCATTTTTATTTAAGGTGGAAAAGTTTCTTCTTTTTTTTTCTGAATTTTTTAATATTTTTTAATTATTAAAAATATATACTTGAAATAAACAATCAACTAATTAAATTAATTTAATCAATTTCATTCAAATGAATGCATAGGTTAAAATTGGCATGATAAACACGGCCCAAATAAGAACAGTAACTGTTTTTTTAATACATCGATATATTTTTACACTAAGAGAAGAGAAAGTTCGGTTAAACTACACAATAAGCAACCTAATTTAGTATTGAATTCGCCATCCACTAGATTTGAACCTAAGACCTCTCACTTCTAGATGAAGAGAAATACTCCTAGACCAGAACGATAACTGTTATTGACACTCTAAAAGTATAATTGTGCATTTTAAACTTACCACATGTAAAAGAAGAAAATAAATACACTTACCAGAAGTGTCCAATAAAATTTTGTACCGATAATAATTCTCATAGGAAACCCTTTCTTTTTTCAAATCACTTGCTCGAAACCTACGCATTTGAAACTCATAAATGATAGATATACTACATTTGGAGTCCAACTTCAATGCAATGTAGCACTCAGTGACTCGTGTTTTAGCCATTAGATTTAATTTCTAGAAATGTTAGATCTTATATTTTCAATCTCATCCGTTTATTTTTTGTATGAGAGATAGTGTGGGTGGGTCGCGCCCGCTGATACATTGTCATCTTCAGAAACGAACAAGCAAATGCAGTGTCATTATCTTGAATATTTCAGATATCAAAAACAACAGTGGCCTCTTTTTTTCTTAAATAAGCACTACATATCACTCTAGGTACAAACGTCTGCAGCCCAGGAAAACTGACATTTCTCTACTATTTTACACAATTCAGAGCATGTCGAAGGATGCTGCCAGGGCTGACATTGCTCAAATTTCATTTCACACTATTGTGTTCTCTTCTTGTCCAGAACTTGAATACCTGAGTCATAAACTGATTCAGAAGATGTACGGGTTGATCCCAGCTAGACCGCCTCCTAAACAAGGCACAACACGCAATACTTTTCACAGAGTTAACTCGAAATACATGGTCAAACACTCAAATGAACAAGTAATCACATCAACCTTTAGAACACGATGTAAAGGCCATGTTGAACCAAACAGTAATGCCTATACTTTCATGTGACGTGTTTGCGCACAATTGATATGGGAATCAAATCTGAATGTCGCCAATGGCTTCAAGGTGAAAAAAGAGGCGATTAACTGTGGGGGAGGAGACAATAGAATCTTGGTAGCTCTAGAAACAGACACTCCAGCAGAGAGACTCTTCAACAATCAAAATGGAAGACAAGGAAATTAACGTGATTAAATGGACTCTTGCTACCAGTAGAGAACGCGCAGCTATGCATATGAAAAATAAATAGCTAAACACATCAACAAGGGGATACCCTAATTGACCAAGATGAAAACAAGATAATCATCAACTCGAGGCAAAATTTAATGCCAAACATCATAAAACCTCTCATAGAAAGGAAATGCGGGCATCCAGACGACCAAAACCGCACAAACTTGGCAACCCATCACATAAAAACCATGCACCATTCACTTACAATAAGATTATACACACAAAGGATTTGTTTTAAATGCACAATATCAACACTGCCATCGGAAACACTAGAGTTACCTGCAATCTGAAAACAAGAAAACACAACCTACAGATTCAATCATACAACCAACAAGTTAAAGCTCATACAATCAAATCAAACATACACTGGCTTGACCCCATACCATCAAATTTCAAAGAAAAAAATTGGGTTCTACAGCATTTTCTCATAAATCCCAAACCTTTTTCCCAATTTTTCAACCACAACAAAAAATCCGAACTTCAAATCTAGACCGAAACAAATAACGGCAATCCGCCACAATCATATCACATTCACATAGATGGATCAGCAGAAAGATCTTTGATCAATGCAGGAACTTCGTGACGGCAGATAGCAACTAGCGTACTAGCAACTATTAAAATGTTGGGAGCAGTCTAGGCTGGCATTCAATATTAGAATGTAACCCCACGCCTTTTCATACGACCCATCCACTGAGGCTGATACCAGATCAAACCCCAGTTTTCAATTTCAATTTCGAAGAGGTTGCGAAAGTCACAGTGCAAAATCTTTAGCAAGGACTTGGGGCCCTCTTCGGATTTTTTTTTCGCAGCGTTTTCTGCCGTCACAAAATTCGTGCTCAAACCTTTTACTATTTCACCATCATATCCATCTCAATTTTGACAATTTTGCATCTTTTCCGTGATTTTCTCGGCATCCAAACAGAAAGTTAAGGGGGTAAACTGAATACCTGTGTAATATCGAAGAGCTTGAGAGGGAAACTGAATTTTTGCTTCTGAGAATCGTAGAGAGCCAATGGAAACTGGTAGAAGCCTTCTGACAGAGAGATATAAACAGATAGTGTGTTGTGGGTGGGAGAAGACTGCAGAGGGCGGCGGAGGAGCAGAGCAAAGGGCGAAGAAGAAGTACGGAGAAGACAGCGACGAATCGAGCGAAGGCGGACTGAAATCCGAAAACTGCGAGCGGCAAGCGGTTTCTGAACTCTAGTTGGAGGAATTCGCGAATAAGAAAGGGTTTAGGGCGAAGGCCGCGACGGCGAGTGGCACTGTGGCAGGCTGCAGCAGTGAAGGCTGAAGAGAGAGAGAGAGAGAGTGGTTTGCACTCTGGAGTTCTGGATGCGAAGGAGGCGAGTGGAATGGAGTTCTGAAGGAATTCACAAATTAGGGAGGGTTACATTAGGGTTACCATACGACGTCGTACTCGAACATGCTGTATATTGCACAACGGTTGTTTTCAATAATTCGGTTTGGGCTTTTTTTTTTTTTTTTAAATTTTTTGGAGCATTGATTCGGTTTGGTTTTTGAACCTCTGAGACTAAAACAGAATCAACATGTTTCGGTTCGGTTCAACTTTTTTCTTTTATTTTTTTCAATTTGGTTTTTTTGGTTTCGCTTTTTCATTTGGTTTTCGAACGTGACATGCCCCTAATGCTTGCCCCGTATTGATTGCCCTCACCTTAGAGGTGAGCAAAGTTGCTCTAAGCTAGTAGCCAGAGAGAGAGAGAGGCAAGGCTGGCCATGAGATTTTGGGGCCCTAGGTGAGTCTTCGAAGTGGGGCTGTAGAGTTTTCTGACTCTTGACCCTTTGTACATTGACATGTGTAAAAAAATTTACTAAACACATGAAAAATCCATTCCTACATCAAATATCATTAATAATTAATATATATATAAAAGAAAGATATACAAACATTACTCAAATACTACCCGTCTCGCGTATTTAGATACAAATGTACTTATTAAGTTTACATAATCTAATTTTTCAACCAATTCAAACCGAAAGAAAAGTCTGTCACATCCCGGCCTGGGCCCCCACTACATCCCGGGCTCGACTTTGCTGTAGCACGATATTGTCCGCTTTGAACCTCGACCACGCCCTCAAGGTTTTGTTTCTGGGAACTCACACGAGAACTTCCCAGTGGGTCACCCATCATGAGATTGTTCTCGCGCGAACTCGCTTAACTTCGGAGTTCCGATAGAACCTGAAGCCATTGAGCTCCCAAAAAGCCTCGTGCTAGGTAAGGGTGGGTTCGGTTCAAATCGGTTCGGTTTTTTGCCAAAACTGAAACCGAACCGAAATTTATGTTCGATTCGGTTTGGTTCAATTTTTTTTCAGTTCAGTTTCGGTTTTTTTTTCAAAAAATTAAAAATTTTGAAATCTTAAATTTTAACATATCCAACACAATCATAACATAAATATTCCGACTAGACTTAAAGATAATGAAAATAAACATTTAAAGTTCAACTAGAATTATAACATAAAGGTTTTTTTAAATATTTTGGGTTTAAGGTTTAGCTGTAAATAGATTTATTTTTAGACGATGATGATGGAGTACGACCTTATTCATTCCTCTCTTTCTCTCAGTCTCTCTCTCTCTCTCTCTCTCTCTCTCTCTCTCTATCTCTCTCTCTCTCTCTCTATACATGTATTCTTCACTAGCAATAAGATAAACATTCTATAATATACTATGTATTTTGGTTATTGTCTAGGTAACAATTTTTGATATTTTCTTTATCTTTATGGTCCGAATTTTTTTTATCCATATATGTGGTTACATAATATAATTTCTACATTTTGTGTTCAACTTCTACCACCAGCAAATTTTGAAGAGGTGTTCATCAATATTTTTGAATATATTGATATACTTTTCAAAATTGTTAGGCCAAGGAAGCTACTATACTTGGCCATAGGTGAGAAAGTTTGAATTTTGTTTTTGATCTTGTAGTGTTTAATAAACTCATGAGACTTTTATACACTGTTTTCCCTAATCAACTGTAGTGCAGTTGAGATATGTGTTCTTATATATGTGTTGCACTTAATGATATAAACTAGAAATATTGCATGTAATGGTATAAGTTCTAATTTTTGTTGTAGATGGAGAAGATGAGAAGACAATTTGAATTGGAAAGCAAACAAGTCCTACCAAAACAGCAGTCCGAAGTATCATATTCTAATATAATAAAATCAAATAATTACATAAATAAAATTAAAAAAATATTAATTTAATTATTTCGGTTCGGTTCGGTTTGGTTCGGTTCCTAGACCACCAAAACCGAACCGAACCAAAAGAGTTTGGTTCGGTTCGGTTTTTTCAATTTGGTTCGGTTTTTTCGTTTAGTTCGGTTTTTTCGGATTTGGTTCGGTTCGGTTTTCGGTTTTTTTCGATTTTTGGTTTTTTGAACCCACCCCTAGTGCTAGGTAGAGATGAGAATATATATATAAGGCTTACATGATCCACTCCCCTGGACGATGTGAGATGTTACAAGTCCATACCCAGTACGCCAAATTCCAATCATTTTTCTGTTGTTGCAATGTTACTTATTGCATTCAATAAATGAATGAATGGTTGGATTACAGAGACAACATCTTACAACTAGGGAAAATACTAGAGTGAAGATGATAGTAATTTCCGTATACGCGCCTAGGCAGACAAGGCAGATTTGAATAATTTATTATATATTATATAAACTAATTAATTTGAACATTAAATAATGTCATTTTTAAAAAATGTGAGAGTATTAGCCTTTTAGGTACATAATAAAGATATATGTGGTGTGATCTTAAAATAGGGTAATAAAACCCCATAAAAATAAACATAAATGTGATATTTAAGAGAGAAGCAAAAAAAAAAAAAAAAAGATGGTGGAGACTATTTAAAAGGGAGAAGACATGCAGCTAGAAAAAAAAGATGGTAGGACAATCTTAAGCAAAATTGTGCAATTAAAATGATGTTGGGAATAGAGTTGTCTTCTTCCATGCGCGAGGCCAACCGTGCAACAAAGATTTTCAGATTCCGGCGTTTACATATAAGCCCGCATAGTGCTCGCCCATCCCCGTCCAGACTTGCCTAGCTCCGCCTAAAAGTTGGGGGCCTTTCCGAAGTGGGGCCCCTAGGCAGACGCCTACTCCGGCTACCCTCAAGGTCAGCTTTAGAGAGAGACAGGGATTTTCCGAAAAGTTTTGGGAGGAATATATTGTTATAGGTATATAGGGTAGCAGTGTTTTTGAAACATGTCATTTGGTCTATTATTTTACATAGGTCTGACCTTGAAGCCCAACCCAATAATGTGAAGAATAAGCCCATCAAGTCTTGTGAACCTTGGTTTTCAAATGCCTATTACCAAATCTACTATATTTTCAAGGTTCCTAGAGATAGAAGAGTAACGATTGTTTCTGAAATTTATATACAACGATATATACCAACACTAAGGAGGTTAAGATAAATTGGTTATGAAATTTGATCTCTTACTTACAAGTGAAGATAAATATTAGTTGGGCTATCCAGTGGGCTTTACACTCACAAATCGAGCACTCGAGCCATTCATGCCCGCCTTAGCACCTCGATGAATTTGACGTCAGGCTAACGTTAACCTCGTCAAATACTTTTTCGACACTGGATTTCTCCCCCTCGTCGACCTTCTTTCCAACTAAAGACGACCTAAGCTTTGGAAACTCAGATACGACGTCGGATTCCGACCCATCAGACAAGTCACTGTTCTTTCCAACTGAAGATGACGAGCTGTTGCAAGATTCCTCTCGAAGACGACGATTTGACCAAACCCTTTATTCTCCTACGAGTAATAAATGAGGATGCAAGGCATCCCGTGGATAAATTAGGTGATTAAATGTTCTATGGGATGAGAAATAGAGGTGAGGGAGAAAATGATGGGAGGCGAAGATGAGGAGATAGAAATGGAGAGAGAGTGGGACACATGAGTTTTCTAGAGAGATGATCACTTTTAAGAAAATAAGGTAGTTATAATAATAAAAAAGTATTTTTTATTAATTTTTTGTTAAAACAATTTTCAATACTAATTGCCCCGATGATTTATTTTTAGGGTTAGAGATGTCCTCAGGCGATTACTGTTTACTAAGGCAATAATTGCAAATTGCCCAAAAGCCCATGCAATTATCGTCCAAATGGGTGGAGTTGCTCTTAGTGTGGGCCTTAAAATAATTTAAGATTTTAGGCACATTGGGCTTGAACCCATTAAGTTGTGACTTAAGCTGTATGACAATTTCAATCTAAAAAAGGCCTAGTAGGCCCACTAATACTAAATGATCATATATGGGAAGGATTTTGTGGAAATTTCACACATGTGAGTATAAAAGCAACTTTATCTCTCTATCTCTCATTAGGGTTTCTAATGAGCGAACGAACAAAGAGATAGACAATCGAGGTTGGTCGGCTAAAGGAGATTTTGGTGGTACTAAATCCTCTGCTAAATCCTCTATTAGATTTTCTCATCTTCATTCCATTATAAACGAGGAGTTTGCAAGTGAAGGCCTTTTCATCAAAGGTAACACTCTGATTATTGTGAAGAGTATCATCAAGAAGTTTGCAAGTGAAGGCCTTTTCATCAAAGGTAACACTCTGATTATTGAATGAAAAATAATCATCGAGGGTAATCTCTATCTCAATTCCTCTTAATCTAAAGTTGATTTTTTTTTGTATATGCACATCAATTTTTTTTTTTTTTACAAACGATAGCGTTAGTTGGTGAAATTTAAATGTTTTGGGTGGGGAAAGGAGGAGGGAGGGATCGGTGAGGGCACGAAGTCATACTAAGGTACATAGGCATTATTGCTTTCCAATACTATGTTAAAGCGTCATAGCATGTTGTTGTCTAAAATAAATCAAGACAAGATTTTTATACTTAATTTCCTTCACTTTGTAAGTGTTGGTGCGTCTTTTTGTTCGCATTAATTTTGTGTATTGGGCTCGTAAATTTGCTTCATTTTGACTTGATATTTTGGTATTTTAGTTGTTTGTTGAACTATTTTCTTATAAACATTGTCTTATAACCATTGTATATGTTATTTTGTTTGATTTTGAAACACATCATATGTGTATTAATGTTTTTATGTGCATTGCTTTTATTTGGCCTAGATTCATTTTTCTTTAATCTTTTGTATACCATTTTATGGAAAGTTTTTCCCATTGGATTTTATTCATTCAATATAACTTAGCTTAGAGAATTTAATTGGTATCACAACTTATCACATTTTTGATTTTGTTGTACATTATAAAATTTTAAATGCCAACTAATATTATGGTCTAGTGGTATTATCCTTTAGTTCTACATCAGTGGTATCAGGTTCGACTCACATAGAGGGTGATAACATATTATATTTGTATTGAGTTTGATACCTAGTCAGTGGCTGGCCCCT